AAATAGTACATAAAGTTCATCTAAGAATTGAAAAGAGGAAAAGGAAGGATATACTGATATTTGAACTTATGAACAGTTATGAAAGGAATTATTTAGAATAAGACTTGACAATAAGTAGAGGTAAAAAGATGAGATTCATAAATAGCCTCAGTACCAGGAAAACAACTTAATAATGAAATATACTTACTTGTGAAATAGTTTTGGGTAGGAAAAATAAGTGATGGACACTCTTTCATTTGAATTTTTTTTAAGGTTGGATTGGACAAAATATAGAAAATACACTCTACAAATCAGAATGTATTTTCTATCTTTAACTTCTCCTGTTGTGTATTTTCCCTTTCTTAAAGAAACAAACAAGAAACAATCCTAACTGCAGCTTTCACGTCTGGGAAGCAGAGGAGTTGTTTTGTGATCTGGGTTCTCACCATTCAGTGTCTGCTAGTGGCAGAACCCACATATCATGCTATACTTTATTTCTGGTTGTGCTGGAGACAACCTACATATGGAGATAATCGTAAATGATCCTTCTCCTAAAGGAATGAGCAGCTGACTAAGCTATATGTAGCACCACTGCAGCCCTCCCTTAAGGCACTTAATTGTATATCATACAGAAATGGACATTTTCTACCATTTTTTTTCAATTTAAATTGAAATTCATGTACCACAGTGGTATATATTATTTTAATAATGTGAATATATTCATTCAATAATGAATAAAAACCAGCCTGGTTTATGCTGATGTGCGAGAAGATGAAGTCGTTTCAACATAACAATTAAGCTCCTGAACAAACTCTTTTTTTTTCCATTTTCTACCCAATAGTTTTTATTTGTCATGATTTTGATGTAGTGCCAAGTCATAATATTTTTTCATTTGAAATACTAACTCTGTATTTCCAGATTGAAGAGTTTAATGAGCCTACAGAAAGGCTCTGTCATATAGATATTTAACAGGACCTATCTGCTTCTCAATTTGTGGATATTAATATAAGCATGATGCAATCAAGGCATGAAACGAACTCAAGGATTTCTTTAGGATGTGTTGGCTCTGTAATGTTTAATACTTGACAGATCATCTTGCAGATTTTCTGCCCTTCTCCTGATCTTGCAGGCTCTCTGCCACCGCTCCCTGTGGGAGTAGGATCTGTGCCTAGTTTTGAAAGTTTTACCTTAGTAATCAGTTAAAAAGCTAAAAATGTCGTGATTGACCCAGAAGTATACAAGCCTTCTCAGATGACCAGGGATGTAGTCTTTGCTGCAGGCTGACAATTTGGACTTAGATTTGTGCGCGTGTCATGTTGCTAAAACCAGTGGCTCCAAAGCAATGAGGCTTCAGAACACTGATAAATGGCTTGTTTTGCTGCCAAGCTGTTGCCAGCTTACACTTTGACACAGTTGTTTTTGTCTGCATTTCTGTATTGTTGTCTTTTATTGCTGACCAATTTAAAAAAAATAAATCAGAGGTTATTCCTCCCTCTGACACAGATCTCAATCTCTATAACTGCCTATAGCTTTTTAAAAAACCCAGGCAAACAAACGAACAGTTGCAAAGACACATTAATACATTTCAGCACAGCAATTGCCCAAGTTCTTTGGTCTATTCATCTGTAGATCTGAACATAATGTTCAGTGATTTATTTCCCACATCAGTATAATGGTGTGGGAGGAGGAGGCACGCAGCTTCTGTGACAGAGGGGGGAACAAGAGGACCTTGGCATGGGAAAGGGAAGATTGGGGCTGGGTGGTAAGAAGTTAGACTGCGGTGATGGTGCGAAATCATGGTGAAGGGGAAGCTGGCTAGGATGAAAGCGTGAGGGTGTAACATCACTGGTGTTGAGGAGGAGAGGTGGGAAGACAGGAGATGCCTTGCCTGGAGTCTGAGGGATGGTAATGAAGGAGCGGAGAGTCTGGGGAGCTGAGCACAGGGATTTCGGCAGAGCTGCGTTTGGGAGCTGAGTTTGGGACACAGTAAGGTCTTTAACTCATTTATCCGGTGGGCTTAGCTGTGGCCTCTGGCTGCCCACTTACTCTTCTGCCAAGGTTTCACAAGGTCTTAGGATAACTCAGGTTGGAAGGGACCTCAGGAGGTCCCAAACTCAAACTCCTGTTCACAGCATGGTCAGCTTGGAGGCCAGCAAGCAGAGAGGAGATGGTGGGGGGAATGTGTTGATCATATAATGTATTGTCTTAAACGGTCTTTTCTGGAGGAGTTAATGTCTTAAGCACCTAAATGCACCTGAAACTGTGAGCTGGAGCCCAAAGGAGTTAAGAAAGAGGGGCAGAGCAGCTGTGAGGGCTGTGGATTTCTCACTGGGCTCCTGGGGTGCATATTAGTGTCTGCCGTTTGTGTTGCTGGCCAGGGAAAGCTGCAAAGCCAGCAGAAGGCAAAGTGAGTAGAGGGCAGCCTGCACTCCTGGGGCTCACAGCCTCCCTTGATCCCCCTCTTCCCCTGGCTCAGTGCTTCTTCTGAGCTACTGTCTGCATCAAGGCAATCTGTCCTTAGTTTCTTTATTTTAACCCAGTTCAAACCTACCCTGCAATCTGAAGGACATAAAAGACTATCTAAAAGTCAAATGTGTGGAGCTTAAGCCCCAGAAAATTAGCAAAATAAATAAAAACATTAAATATTCTGTTAGGCAGTGTGTAGTAAGAAGGTGGTCGCTTGGCTGTGCTACCATAACTTGCTTAAAATTCAGCCCTGAAGGTAACTGCCAGAGCGTGCCGGACTGCTGATCAGTCATGTATGTCCTCTAGCATCTCATCAGCTCTGTGTAACTGTTCTCTGCTTTTTCACTTAGATTTACCCCATTTGCTTTTCTTATTCACTTGAATGCATATGAAGTGTTGGTGGCTTATCCACAGGGGTAGTTGTCATCTGTGTTCATGGTCTCTCCTGAGTCTCACTCTCCTCACCTTGGTGTTGCACCTTCCCTTCTACTTCAGTTTTTCCTCCAATCATCCCAGATGGCCTAATATATGTTCTTAAAACCTCTCCTATTTTTAGAGTCCCCTACACTTTACACATCATAAAGAGCATTAATTATACATATTTTCTGTTAAGCTCATGATCTCTTGTGCATTACTAGCTATCTCTGGAGAAAGAGCTTTCCATGTTTGAATGCATTATTAAAGTGCTGTCAAGGCTGAGTGACAAGTTTCATTATCTGGATGCATTCCAGTGCCTCCCTGTGCCCACTGTTAGCCTCCAAGATTGTGATCCCCCCAAGCTGCCATTTGTCATCTTCAGAGAAACAGGCAGTGGAATTTTGGGCATAACTCATCTCACCCCAAATTGGACGCCAGGGAATTGAACCCTAAATTGCGTTTACGAGATCTCTGCTGAATGCAGAGAGCCCAGACAAAGGGACACTTAAAAAAAAAAATAAAAAAATCACTGAGGCATCAGTTCATTAAGCAACCAGTCTTTGCTGTGACAGTGGGTGGTCTGAGGTGGAGTTTGGGAGAGCTGCAACAGCAGGGAGACAGCAGTAATTAATTCCTGCACTGTCTTGGGTTGCTGTCGCTTCTTTCCTGGGTTTTGTCCTCTCTCTTTTCTAAATGTAGGTAGCTCTGCTATTACCAGTGTTGCCTGGATACCACTGTCTTTTCTCCAGCAAAGTTGTCATTGAAACATTGAATTAAGAAAACCGTGTCAATCAGCTTACCTTCAGTGAGACATTTTCAGTTGAAGATTCTTTTATTGCACTTATTTGTTTGCATAGATCTCCCTCACCCTTGATACAGTTTACAATTATGACTTCTGCTATATCTGACTTTCTACTGACTGGATAACACAGACATGATGCTGAATTCCAGTTCTCTGTTTACCTCTTGGTATGAACCTCCCTAGATTTATCTAGAGTACATCTACGAGCTAACCACAAATTATATTTTCCGTCAGAACAATAGAGATAACGAGACAAAGATGGTTGCAATAAGGTTTAACTGTCATTTCAATAATAAACTAAGAATTTCGTGCTGTAGGCAGGAACAGAGCTCTTGTAACACAATCCTGTGATTTAGGTTCAATGTGTCCCTTCACTGTCCCTCCTGGGCAGTGTCTTTTTTTGAGGTTTCTAAATGAATCTAACATTAGCAATGCACCTCTCCTTTCCTCATCTCTTTTCCATAGGAGCTTTTCAGCCTCTTTTGCCTCTCCTTGGAGGTAGGTGCTCTGATGTTGTTTGCTGGAATAGAGCCATTTCTCCCAGGTGACCAACAGTCTCATCCTTCTTAAGTCCAAACCCCTTCTTCTCTAGCACATGTCCACGCTGAGCTGCTTACCAGAAATCCTGGCGCAGTCCCCACTGCTCCTCACCCACCCACTGCTGCCCTCCTAAGAGAGGCAGGGCTGGGAGCTGACACAGGGATAATGGGAGAGCTGGACAAGGGAAGAGTTGCCCAGAGAACAGGAGGTCATTTCCAGGGCTCACTTCCATTTTTGCCTTTCTTCATTGCAGGTCCCTCTAGAAAACCATGGGCAGTGCTCCTTTATGGTACATCTGTTAGTTCTTCCACCTGTTTGTTGCAGACATCGTGACCGCTTTCTTAGTTCATACTAAATATTATACTTTTGCGTTGGTTGTACTGCTACTTTTCTTGTATTGATACACTGAAGTCTAAAGAAGCAGAATTTTATCCTTCTCTGAGGCAATTTGCCTTGAAAAAATCCATACAGTGAGTTGGTGGCAAAATGGGGAGTGGAACGGTAAGGCAGATCGGTGCCCAGCTTCCACGTATGACTGAATCAGAGCAGTTTAAGCAGTGTCTACGTGGGAGATGGGAAGGGTATTGCATCTCTTCAACCACATAAGAGCCTGTGGGATATTTAAGATCTTACGAAAACTGAGGGTTGGTTGGTTGCCAGAATGGTATCATGGTATCATGGTATGGTGCAACAACAACAGCCATGAGATATGTTTATAGTTGGTCCAGGGCAGCTTTTTGCTGTAGCACTTGATATTTTATCAAGTATAAAAAATGTCTTTATATTTCTGCTCTAGGTAGTGCATTTATTTCTGTCTTATTCCTAAAGAAGACCATGAGGGCTGCTGATATATTGGGTAAGTAAGCGTTTGCTAATACGGACATGTGTGTCGCCATATGCTTAGCAAGCTGTAACTCTCACACAGCCCCCCACCTTCCCACTCCCACTTTCCCGAGCAAGTGTTTCGAGGCAGATACTTACAAAATTGGGAAGAAGTGACAAAAAGAGAGAGAATCTTCAGTGCATGTGGAAAAGACTGCATTCCCAAATCCTCTGCTCTTATAACCATAACTCATTCCTTATGTGTCCTTATTACTCAAATTTATTTTTATTGTCTATTTTTGCCTCTGAGGTTGTATTTAGTATTATATTTATGAGTACAACACATTTTTAATAAAAACAATGAAATGATTGAGTTATTCACTCAAATACATGATCTTTTTTTTTCTTGCTGCATAGACATTGCACAAAAATTCAAGCTCAATTAAAAGTGACAACCTCCCTTTTGGTATTAATTTTATCACTTCAAAGAACAGATAATCATGTTGTCAAGTGCTTTGCTGGGAAACACGGTCTTCACTGTAAAAGCATGTCAACTTTTTGTCTGTGTCCAAGATTTTTTTGCATATCAGAACTGCCTGGCTTGAGCACGGTAGTAGCGAGAGACAAGCGTGTTTCAGGGTTTGGGCTTTACCCCAAGCCATCTTGGCCAGGACAGTGCACCTGATGTTGCTAAAGGGCACCTGATATTTCTGGGGGGTTCCTAGCATCTAGAACTGATTGTCCATACTATAAAGAGGACGTCCCAGCTGTTCTCATGAGTGTTTTGCTGAGATCTGTTCAATATGGTTCCAGGAATACTATATAATATTTAGGTTTGGGATCTAAGTTTGCCAGCTCAGCTGCTACATTCGAAATCCCCCCTCCCTTGACTGATCATGTTTCCCTTATGGCCTTATACATTGTGTGTTGCTTTAACTAGTGTTCGAGCACTGATTTATTTTATTTCTGTGAGTTCGACTTTGCAAGAAGGATTTAACAATGTTGCTACATTCCATAGGAATGAGCTGTATGATGGGAAATATGGTGATGTTTTTGCAAGCACATAAATATAGAACAGTTCTGCTTTTCCAAAGGAACTGTGTTCAATAGCAGTGCCAGCAAAGTCCTCCAGATATGCTTTGTTTTGTATTCCTGAGCCTTGTATTCCACACCGATTTGTGGGTTTGCCAAGAATTTTAAAGATTACTTGAAAAAAAAAAATTGATTAGTTAATATCTTCCTTAATCCGATACAGCTTATGAGCTCAGGATCGGCTCATTTCTATCTCGATACCTCAATGAACATCTGTGTTTGTCAGCTGGCTGTCCACAAGGCAGAACTTCCAGATTTTTATTAAAAGCACAATAATGCAAGTTCGACCTTGAAGAGAGGCCCTGGCAACCTAATGGCTGAACAGTCTTTTGCAAATCAGCCTTTTATAAAACACTTTATAGGGCTGCAAATACAACAGGGAGCGGCCAAAGTGTTGGCTCCACGACAGGTTCGGATGAGCATTGGACTGGAACGTATCTGTTGTGCTTAATGTTTCCAGGGCAGGTCCAGAGCTGGTGCTGATCTTTATGGCCACACTGATTTTGGGAGAGCGGTGTCTATTTGCACGGGTTAATGATCTAGGTGTTTACCTCAGTAAGTAACTTGTCCCTTCAGTTTAGAATGAGTTTGCGTGACCTGCTTTGTGCCTGTGAGAAATACAAAGAATCGATTCTCTTTTGTGGTACACTTGGTATTAGAGTTAAGAATATTTGAAAACACATTGCATAGTTGGAATCAACATGAGGCTTTACTGATGGCTTTTTTCATATTTCCAAAAGTTACCCTAGATAAGACCACAAATACAAGGCAACTCAAGTACCTAAGCCCAGATCCGATTAAGTGGACTTAAATTTTCTTCTAGAAACTATTTCCTAGTCAGCTGGAGAGCAAGGAACACCGTGATTAACAAATATTATTGTACTAAAACAACGTGTCCTTTTCTTTAAAGGAGGAACACTGACATTAACAGGGACATACTTGCTGGTGGCATTCGCTCCAGATGTACCCCAAGAGCTCACAGCAAGACGAGTACAGACTTACTTAGTGAGCTGGCCTTTTCTGGTATATTCGGTGAGTATCTGGTTCATACGACTCTCTAAATCAAAAAAACTGGGGTTCTTGTACCTTTTGCAGCATTATGAAGTAAAGGTAGGGAAACTGCTTCTGGAGATAAATTGTGTGATCTTCACAGGAGAGAGAGAAAGTCATCATGCCCCTTCCCAAGCTGAAAATATGCTGAACCAAAAGATGTATTTTGAACTACCTGCCAGGGGAAAGTCACAGCTGTGCATGATTGACAAGAATGGAAAGATTTTGAGTTTTGGTGGGCTTGTGGGAAAACCTAAATATTGGCACTGCTTGTATTTCCTATGTATGTGTTCATGCCACACTATCGGCGTGTACATCTAAGTTACAGTGCTTTTCAGGAATGTGATGGACTTGTGATTTTAAAGATCAGGCTATGTATGCTTTTGGTCCTGCTTTTTTCTTTCATATCACAATCTGAACCTGAGTTTGAATTCAAATACAAAAATACTGTTTTGATTAAAGTATCGGTACACAAACTTCAAATACCATACGTCTTCTTTGATGTATGTAATTAGCATCAGGAACAAGACCAGAGTGAGTAGGAGGAATTTCTCGTTCTCTTTTCCTCTGGAATGCTGAAAATTTCTCCAGCTGAATGTAAAAGATGCAATACAGGAGCTTCAGAAGCAGTTACTTTTTTCCCCAGTAAAGTGACTCACTTGGGTTAGATTGTTACTGCCCAGGCTTTTCTCAGTAGGAAGCTCAGTTGGAAAGCCACTGAATAGACAGTTTAAGGACCTTAATCTTTTAGCCAACCTGCAGACTTTAAATATATCTCACTATCCATGAGACTACTGGTTAAGCAGAAAGTACAAAAAAATGTTGATTGTCTTGCTCAAGTTTTTGTGCATTTTAAAAGATGGTGATACAACTCAGTGGAAGAAATTAATGATCATGTTGCATAAATCACAACATAGGCTTTCAATCAGGCAGTAGAGAGGCTTTTGAAGGCAACGTCCAAGAGTTTTGGGGTACGCAGTAAGGGTAGCTTTAGCCTCAGCAAGAGCTTCAGCAAACCCATGTAACCAGCAGAGGGAGAGGGACTTCTTTAGGAGGGGGTTCAGAATTAAGGGTCTTGGTGCGCACTGGAGGGCTCTCTCTCTTTCCTACTGAGTATCCCCCTATACCATGCAGTTCCACCTATAGATACTAAAGCAGCCTGGAATTTTAGGCGCTGATTTTAAATTGCTGACTTATCCTTTTGTGTAGAGGTGGTGCAAGGAGAAAAATTCCCACCCAGTGACACCAGAAATTTCTGTGCCATGTGCTGTTTGCATTTTCTTAAAACTAACAGGTTGCTGGAAAAGGACTTTTCCAACCTTTTTTCAGGAAAAGTTAATAAGAACACAGTTGAATGCCTAGGAAGACACATACAAATGTGCTGTATTCTTCTTAGGAGACATTATGGTGATAGGTAGGTGGTAGGTAACCCCTGGACTTTCTTTCCCCTCTTCTCTCTTTTCCCTGCCTCAGCCAGCATCCAATTCTACATGTACAATATGGGTTGTAGGGAAGGATGGAGCAAGTACAGCAAATTTTGTTGACTCAACAACATATCAAGCTTTATTTGTTCCTCCTGTTCCCTGGATTCATCTGTTTTGAGCTTTCTCCATCCAAAGAAGAGGGAGGAGTGAAAGGCTCCAGAAGAGACTCGGAGATACCAGCCTGATTATCCTGGTATGCTGCTGGAAGTTCAAGCAAACCCTGCTGTAAACATTCTCTTTGGGCAGGGAATTAGCTCTTCATAACTATTTGCAAAATGCTTAGCACAGGTTGGCTGCCGAGATGTAAAAAAGCACAGCAGAAGTTGCAGAGTTTCCATTATAAATATATAGCAAGGAGACAGTACAGCAGTATAATGTAGTCCAACAGTCTTTCTAAATGCAGCCCCAAAGTGTGGTCTGCTGAGAAATACAAAGCCCCAGTGGTACAAAATGTTCTGTGTGGGTGCTAAACCATCCCCATGTGGCACTCCACTGGCATCAGAGGAGTTATGCAGAAATAGCCTCTAGTTCCCACATGAGACAACTTTGAGTCACCTTCTGAGACTCAAAGCAGTAGCATAATCATGTCTGAAAAAGAATGACTAACCTAGCTTGTTTTTATTTCTCTTTTGCCTATACGCACTTTGAGTCACTACAGAAGACATCAATTATAAATGAAGCTCTTAACATTTTCCTAAACAGAAGCATAGTGAATATTGGGTTGTTAATATTTAATCTCTGTAAAATCAGGCTCAAAGCATTTCTGCTTTTCCTTCAAAGTGCATAGAAGACCCTTTTGGTTCATCGGTTCCTACGTTGCTGTATATCTCAGAAAAGGAATGGAGGCAGACAATGTGGTATTTTGTTCTGGTGCCTGCTGGTAATGCTTAGAAACATGGAAAACTTAATGATTATAAAAAAATGTCGATGAGATGTGGGCTTGAGGAGACTTCAGTAGAGATTAGTTATAGTAGCAAAAATGATTATAAGCAGGTCAAGGTCCTTTAATTCCTCTAAACAGACTATGTGAAGTTGATATAATCTATGCACTTCCCATTCCTGGACTTTGTATTTAACACCACCACAGTTATCAACTATGAGAGCAAGCACTATTTTTGGTAATTCTCAGGAGACAATAGCAGGCAACAGTTGGAGCACCTCAGGAGGGTCCCTGTCTGCGTGAGGTCTTGTCAGGAGCTTTGAACTCCTCTTTCAGCGTGACTCAATGTGATGGCCTCTCCCATGTCTTGTGATTAAAGGTGGCCTGTTGGTGGGTCACCAAGCAGCAGAGAACCATGGAAGAATAGTTTGGCTGCTGGGCAGCACGAGGTGAGAACTAATTGTTTGTATTACATGCTTAGTGTGTAAAACTTGGCAGAGCTGTGTAAACTTAAATAACAGCCCTGAAAAGCAAACATCAGCTTTCCCCATGTACGGCTGCAGGACTGCCATCTCTCGCCCTACACCACTGCTGCTTTTGGGGCTTCCCCAAGAGGCAGAAGCAGCCAAGCATGCAGTCCTGTGTGCCCCTTCCAGGGCTGCCATCAGGGACTCTTATGTCCTTTTGATGGTTTTTCTTGGCTGTTTGCTTGCAGAAGTGAGTCTTCTTGGTGGGCTCGTTTGCATTTAAACAGGAGGAGACCACAGTGGAACGTTATGGTAGCTTTAGGAAGAGAAGAGCTGGTGGCAGGATGAGGACTGACAGAGGGCTGATGGACAGAGCCAACAACAGTGACTTGTCTCTGTTGAGGTCAGTGGTGCTTGGCACTACCTGCCACTCTGGGGGCCAGAGTGAGGTGGAAGAGGGAATGGAGCACCAGAGCTGGTGTGCGATGGAGCAGTTTGAGCAAGTGACTCTCCCTGGGCTTGTTTTCAGATTATTGCTCTTGCATAGATTGCTTGAAATGTAGGTGACAGGGTAGATGATGGTGCTTCCCTCTGCTGGCATTCTGATTAAAGTTGTCTAGGGGATATAAAATGAATCAATACCTGAGGTGTATCTGGCTGCCTACAGTAGGGCTGTTTCATGGGTTTTTGCACACTCTGTGGCAACCAGTCCAAGGGTCTGGGAGAGATGATGGGTGCTCAGGTTTGCACTGCAAGGGGGGGAGCAGATCTCACAGTGCTGTGTCACCTGGTGCCATGGCCCCATCCCAAGTCACACCACCATCCTGTATGCCAGTCCTGAACTGATGCGTCGTGGAAGAGGATGCCTGGAACATTTCTGGAACATCTTTCTTAGCCTGCGTACCTTTCCATGTGGGGAATGTTTATTTAGCATAGCTTTCTTCTATTCTGTTAGCAATTGTTCACTGTCAAAATAGCAACTGAAGCTATTTGGAGGCTGCTGTAGCTGCAGGCTGTTAATGTGATATTCCCCTCTGGCCCCAAGATGTGTTTGCCAGTGGCGTGAAGAGTGAAGCTGCTACCTTTACTTCTCCTTTCGAGTTCCCTCAAAACCCTGTCATAGTTTTCCACAGGGAGGCCAAGATGAGCTCACATGTTTGCAGATCTTAACATGACATCTGCCTTGGTTCCTGATTTAGACATACCGGTGTTACCCTGTTGAATAAAGCTGGGGAGGCTGGCCAAGTTACTTACTGTGAGACCTCTTTTCTACCAGCTGGTGGCCCAGCTTTCACCTCTGGGTGCAAGCCTGGGGGGGGGGGGG